CACCGCTTTGTTTTCCCGCTCTGTCAGCCAAAACCGATCCACCACTCCTCCCCCCCCTTCCACCCCCCCTCCCCCCCCTCCCCTCCCCCCCACCCATGACCATGACCCAACCTCGTCTTCCCCGGCGAGGACTCCGACGTGTAGTATCTGTCACACTTGTTGCTTATCTGGTTGTTGCCCTTCTCACCCCTCTGCTCGAAGCAGGCGGTGCGTACAAGTCAGAGAGAATCGTCAAGCTCATGGACATCATCTCATCATCATCATCATCATCATCATCATCATCGTCGTCATCGTCGTCATCGTCGTCATCATCGTCATCGATGCTGTTCGGATCAAAGCCGCCATCAACACTCCCGCCTTATTGCTCCATGTGTGAGCCTGGTGATGCCAAGACGATGAGTCCGAGTCCGAGTCCGAGTACGGGCCAGAGGTCGGACGCGGACTCGGGCTCGGCCCCTGACTCGGACTCGGGCTCGGTCTTGTCGACAGAGTGGCTGACCAAGCGGTTTGTGGCGGGGGCTAAGAAGGCGGCGGCAGGGCATGGTGGTGTGTTTATTCTTCCCATCGGGGAGCCGGATGGTCCGGCGGCGCATGGCGATCTCAACTCGTTCCGGACATGCATCGAGCTGGCAAGGGCTTGGTGCAGAGAGACGCCTGCGCTGTGCGAGCCGTACACTACAGACTGGCTGGTTCACAAGAATCTGGTCAAGATAGATCGTCGGACGCTGAGCATTGCGTATGTGGTCGAGATTGACGCATCGCAGCACTCGCCACAAGCCCTGGCCGCTACCGTCGATGCGCTCTACGCGCTCGGCTCATCAGAGACCCTCATCGGCGGCTTGCAAGTCGCGTCGGTCTTTGTCACCCTCCGCCGCGACGCCACGGTCAACGTGCCGAAGAAGACCGTGATCGGCAGGTGCTTTGTTGAGGCGACGCTGACGCTGACCGAACCAGGCGACGTTGTCCGTGGCTTGCCAGCCATGCGGCTCCCGGGACTGGTCTCGTTCCGCATCAACCAGGGTAGCCTCGACCTGGCTGCGCATCTTGCCTCCGCCGGCGTTCTCCCTGCCGAACTTGTTGCGTTTGGCGCAGCCACGGCCGACCAGGCCCGGCTTCTCATCGAGACGCTCTTCTCGCGAACTGTGGCGTTGCCGTACACGGCGCTGGTTCTCGACGAGACCGTGGGGATGCCAGTGGCGAGCGACACGGCGTGGGCGGTGCTCTACGAGCGCTACGCCAAGTTCCTCGCATGGGACCGGATGCTTGTGGCGCGGATGCGCCGGCCGACCGCCGCCTTTACCTCCGACTCGGAGCACTACCCGGTCGACGCGCTGTACTACCTCGACCCCGAGTATGAGCATAACCGGTACGGCGGTGATCCGGACCGGCGCGTCAACCACCACTACGCGGCCTGGCACCCGGACGAGGCACCCGAGGCCGCCTTGGGCTGCACTCTCCGGCGTGACGCGCAGTACGACGTGGTGCGGGTGATGGGCGCAGCTCAGTCGGCGGCCCGCGTGCCGCAAGCCGACGACCCGCCGGTCTGCCTGTGGAGCGACCCGGACTGGATCGAGATGAATGGAACGTGCCAGTCGATTCTCCTACCCGGCCCGGCGTGCTTCTCATACTCGGGCGCGGTGGCCACGCTCTACGTTGGGTCGGAGGAGGCCGCCGCCGTCGCCGACTACTACCTGGAGAAGCAGACGCCGCGCAATCTGTTTGATTTTGCGCTCCCTGTGAGGCGCTGGTACGTCGAGGTCTCGCCCGAAGTCCTCGCGCGCGGCAGCGCGGTGAGCTCCACCTCGCTCCTCGACATCCACAACGGGGTGGTGAGTCTCGCACACGTGTCGGCCCACGCCGACTTTCCAACACGGTCGCAGCCTCGCCATACCACGCCATCCTCGACGGTTACTTTCCGATGTGGCTCACTGCAGTCCGTCTTGGCCTCGTCGACGTGGCCCACGGCGAGTTTGTGGGCGACGAGTCTGCGGCCGACTCGATCCTGCACATCGAAATGTGGAACAACTTTGAGGCCGGCGGCGGTGGCTCGATGCTGCCGGCCACCGACTCACCGGACAAGCATGGCGACGCTGCGGCCTACGAGCGCAAGTACCGCAAGTCTGTTTTCCCGGCGGCGCCGTTCGGCGGCCTTACCGAGCCGATCTGGGACTTTGTCCTCGGCCGCGGGCGGTCGGTCGGCTCGGTTCCGGGCGTGCTCGTTGACGGCGTGCCGCGGTACCCGGAGCGGTTGGTGTGCGGGCAAAAGTCGCTGGTGGTCAACTGGGGCGGGGCGCACACCTCGTTTGGCCTTTACGACCACCGGCACGACAACTACGAGAACAACCACGCGTGCGCAGCGACGTGCCCGCCGCGGACGTCACTCCACCGCTGCCGCAACCTCGCGCAGTTCCGCCACTGGTCCATGATGCGGGCCGGTGTCGACCCGGGCCGGCTCGCGCCGTGGGCGACGCCGAGTAAGCTCCGCGTCCGAGTCGCCGAGCGGACGTGCGCCAAGTCGCCGAACCGGTGCTTTGCCGGGTCCGCGCAGGGCTTTGTCGACGCGCTGCGAAAGGTGCTCGAGCCCGAGTTTGGCATCACCGATGTCGCCGTCATCGACTTTGGCTCGGGCGACATTGCTGGCTTCTCGGACGCCATTCGCATCGGGAGCGAGATCGACGTTCTCGTCGGTGTCTCGGGCGCCGCGCTTCTCAACCAGATCTGGGGTCCAACCAACGGGCTCACCTGGGAGATGACGGTCGAGCAGCCGCCGGACGAGGTCGGGCAGCACTACTTTTTCAACTGGCACCTGACGCCCGGCAAGTGCCTTGGCCGGCGGCACTCGAACCGCTTCTACAAGGCTGCCATGGTCTCCTCGCTCGACCTGGACCAGCTCGCCGCCCACGTTGCGTCGGAAGTCCGGGCTCAAATCGACCGCGAGCTCTCGCCGCTGCATCGGCCCGAGTACGGCGGCGTGGCCAAGATCGAGTTTAGTCGAGAGGGTGATTTATATGGCACGCCGCTGCGGACGTGGCAGATTTGAAGGGCCGCGTAAACAAGCGAACACCGCACTCTACTGGCGTGGATCCGACCAGGTCTTGAGCGAGCCGTCGGAAGTCTCAAAGTACACCATGCCCGTGGCAGCATCCACCCGCTCGACCCACGGCTCTGGCAGCGGGGTTCCGGCCATCTGCTCGGCGTACAGCGAGGCAAAGAACGACTGGAGGTCCGAGCCGTCAAACCGCGGATCGAGCTTGGTGCCAAACAGCGACTTGGCCGACGAGTACCCGAGCGAGCGGTAGGCCTCAAACTGGGCGTCGGAGAAGAACTGGTCGCCGGTCGACTCGTGCGGAAAGGTCGGCGACTGCGACTTGTACTCGGTCACGATGACGTCCTCGTCACCGATGAGGCTCGACTTGATGTAGAGGAGGTAGCCAACCTCGCCCGGCGGCGGGCTCGAGGGCGGGCTTGAGTTGGAAGCAGCAGCAGCAGCAGCAGCAGCAGCAGCAGCAGCAGCAGCAGCAGCAGCGGCGGCGGCGGCGCGGGTAGAGCGGCGAGGGCGCGTTGGCGATGGCGGCGGCGTGTGGTCGGTAGAGGGCGAGGCAGACTCAGAGTCGAGCTCTGTCGCGTCCTTGTGGTAGATGATGCGGCCGATGGCCCAGTGGCGGGCGGAGCGGAGGGCGCCGGTGACCGGGTCGGGCTTGGGGGTGAGGGCGTCGAGCGGGATCTGGATGGTGCAGCCAAAGTCGACGCGGGCGAGGCGAACGAGGGTGGCGAGGCCGTTGAACGAGTAGTTGGGGTCGGCCTCGGCGTCGCTGGTGATGACGTACTTGCAGCGGCGACGGAGGAGCTCAAATGTGGCGGTGTTCTCGAGGTGGCCGCCGTCGGAGAGGTTGAGGCGGTAGTCTGTGCGCTTCATGCGCGGCCAGCCAAACTCCTTCATCAGCATGTACCAGGCAAAGCCGTAGAAGAAGCGGGAGAGGACGGTCGAGCCGAGGATGACCGAGCTCGGGTTGGGCAGCCAGTAGCCGAGGCGGATGTTGAGGACGCCGAGCGAGAGGACGAGCGATTCGATGGTGGAGGTGCCCATGTGCGGGGCCATGGCGGCACCCGAGATGGAGACGGCGGTGGCGAGGTCCAGGTTGCGGTCGGCCTTTTCCATGACTCGGGTCTCGCGGTAGCCGACGGCGGCGGCGCCGACGTACTCTTTGGTAAAGACGAAAAAGTCCGAGCCTGGTCCGCCGAGGGTGTCGAGCGAGTCGCGGTCGAGGTTGAGGGTGGCGTTGATGATCGAGTACGGCGCGAGGTTGTGGGTGTTGATCTGCGAGAGCTTGGTCTGGCCAAACAGGGCGACCTGGAGTTTTTGGTTGGGGTGCGGGCGGCGGTGGTCGCCGGGTGCAGGCTCGCTGGCCGAGGCGGCGGCGGCGTCGTCGAGCGCGGCTGGGGCGCGAAGGGTGATGAGGAAGGCGCGCGAAATGCGATCGCGGAAGTAGCGGTGCATGGAGGTCTCGTTGATATCAATGCAAAAGAGCGAGAAGAGGGCGAGGATGCCGCAGAGCACGTTCTCGCGGCCGAGGAGCGGCTTGTCGAGGAGCATGCCGTGGAGCTCGAGGTAAAAGTAGGCGAGGAGGAGCGGGCCCGAGACGAGGATAAAGGAGGAGAAGATGGCGCGCTTGACCGGGTGGATGACGGACTCGGTGATGAGAGTGACGGCGAACGAGTCCGAGACGAGGAGG